TGCATTTAGAAGATACTTGTCCTTCACTTTCCAATCTCCTTTTAGCCTTTGTCAGTAACCTTGTGGGCTCTCCACAGGTGTTTCCATTTGTAATCCATTTGACACAGCAAGACAATCATAATTAATGGAGCTCCCTACAGCACTGCCAGTGACCCAGAATGTAGGACAGGAGAGGCACTGAAGCAGTGGAGAGAACAGCCGGCTGGGAGCCAGGAGATCTGGTCAGTGTCTGGAGGAGCAGGGCAGCTCACTCTTTTTTTGTGCACCTCTTGGTCTCCAGTCTCAAACTGGAAAGAGGGGAAAGAAAGGCCCTGTCGAAAATGAAGGCATGCTCACTAACATTAAAATTCCTGCTCTTAGCCTCCTTCCTTTATTTGCCACTGAAAATCAATTTAAAGTAAACTGCTAAGTCAAGTTTTGATTGTGTTGGAAGGAGGGGGAATCTGATTAAATCTTTAAATGCTAAGATGAATGCAGAACAGTTTCTGATTTGAGGACAAGGAGGGAGACTGGAGAACAGGGGCGCTACACATTTCCTGTGGAGGTTCTCCCAGTACTTCTCTGGCAAAATTTTCACATGGGGAGGCTTGGAGGAAGGAAAAAGGGGGATCAAGGGTAGTATCTTTTCCATTTTTTTCTCTCTGCTTCAAACATACACATAAATAGAACAAAAAGAGAAAGAAAATAAAAAGCCAGAAAGGAAACAGATGTCTTTCTATAATGGTTTTCATCCAGTTAGTATTGTTTTGACCATAAAATCCTATAAAAAAGATGTAGAACAAATTTTTCTACATTTAACCCTAGACCATTTCCTGCAGAGTAACCTAGACCTGTATAAGAGAAAAATCACCTGGAAAGAATTCTGTGATGTTATGGGAAAGCCCCTGTGGTCTAGCTCGGTGTAAGTCAGAGAAAGGAAGCTGGCTGATTTGTCCACTAAAAGCGCCATATGCATCTGTTAAAAAATGTTCCCAGCTCCAGAGACTTGCTCTCCATCCCTCAGGCCTTCTCAGACCCTTGTCCAGACTCACATCCCCCTTTCTCCACTTGTCAGCTCACAGGGACATCATGCAGTGAGTATCCATTACACATGTAGAGAACAGAGATGTATCTTCATATGCTGAGGGCTCCCATTTCTCCCACAAATGAAGAAACCTAAATTACCAACAAGACTTCACCTCAATTTTATGAAAACCCTACTGTATCACTCCCTCCTAAAGAAGTCCTTACCTCTCCTGGCATTTTCCTTTTACTTCTTCAAATGGATTCAGGGTTCAAGTCCTGGGTATCATTTCTTTGGATGGCTATTCCTGTTTTTACTCACAGTATCGATATTTCATTACTATTAATATATTTAAAATTAAATTATTTTTCTGTTTATAAAAGTAATATAAAGTTACCCAAAAATATTTATATTATACTTTTTATGATTATAAAAATGTCCTAAGTAAGTAAAATGAAATTTCTGTTTTTCCATTAATGCATGGTTCAAAAACTGTTGGATTAATTTTCACTAAATATAGAGGAAATGTTTGGGATGGTCTGGTTTAGAAGAGAGGCTACATAGCATACATGAAATTCAGACTGGGCACCCTGGGCAGTCTTCTTCCTGGGCAGCCGGACGTGAGGTATAGCGAGAGGCTCTTGTGATGTTGATGGGAGTAGATTTGCCAAACACATTAGGAAGGTATGGAGAGCTTCAGACATGAACCCCAAATCCAGTCTTGGGGGGGGGGGTCAATGTTCTGAACTGCAGGCTCAGCCTTCATAGATAATACATATCGTCAGTGGTAGCAGGGATTGTTCTCTTTGATGATGACTGAAATTTTCCTGAGCCAAGCGGGTGGGCCAGCCAGTAAATAATAATAATAATTACAATAACAATATAATAAAGCATTTGCGAATGTTTGCTTTCTGTAAGGTCTGTAATAGATATATGACATAAGCTCATCATTTAATCCTCACAACAACTCTCTGAATTAAGTGACACTATTATCTCCTTTTCAGGGATGAGGAAATGGGTATTTTCACAAGTTAAATAACTTGTTCTAGGTCATAAAGCTGGTAAGTGGCAGAGCCAGCATTTAAACCCCAAATGCCTGCTCCCAACCACCATGCTTATTTCTAGAAACCAACTCGCATGCTGTGGTCACACGTTGTGGTAAAACACTGCTTTCTTAAAACTGACTACGAGGTCACCAAAACACTGCACCCATGGCTCAAGCCACTTAGCCTCGGTCACCAGGCTCTTCATGGGGTGCGTCGAGTTATCTGAGACACCACATCCCCTGCCTCTTATTTTCTCACACCCGCCTCCATCCCATGTGGCTAAGGTCACACTACTCCTCGGCCTCTTCGTCTGGTGTTCTCACTTCCACCTCTCCACCTTCTGCCATGCTGCTCCCTCAACAAAGAGGCTCTCCATCTCTGCTGTCAAATCCTCTCCCTCCTTGCTCAGAGGCAGGCAGCACCCGGTGCTCCCTCCCACCCAGGCTTTGCTCAGTGGAAATGACACCGTTTAATTAGCTAGTTATTAATAATAGGAAAGGAGCAAAGGGGGAATCCAGACATTATAGGCATGTCATTTGGGCAGCTTCACCAGGTAGCTGCAATTTCACACTCCCCAGGGAACTACCAGCCCATTCCCCACAGATTACTGGGGGAAGGGGCCAGACAAAGGGGAAAATGGACACATGCAGAATGAAGTTGGGGTGACATAGCGAAGGTGTTGTCAGTCAAACCTGGGAACAGAGGTCATTGGCTAGAGTGGGCAGGGCCACTGCAAGCCCGAGAAAACTTGGGACTACATAATCCCTTAGATAAAGGAGCTCGCTCACTTGTGTGGCTCTTGGTGCTCTCTCTGTTCTCTGGTTCCTTTAGCTTTGCTCTTGCCCGTGTTCCTCCATAGCGGCATGGCCCATGGCCATGCAAACCCCACATGCAATGGACAGATGGACTGCAACTGGGAACACAAATTAAACTAGTCTGACGCTGTATTGGACTGTGCAGACATGGAATGGAAACTCTGGACACTGGCTTTGATCTTAGTTCTGCTGAAGGCAAAATGGGATTTCTTCCTTGGTGGGACAAAGGGAAATGGGACCTTGGAAACTCAGGGGTTTGATTCCATAGCAATAAATCTTCCTACAATATCTCATCCTCCCATGTGAGTCTCAGAAACTTCCTTTTCTTGGGATATCACAAGAAGCCCATTCCCACTAGCAATGGGTGGAGACATGGAGATCTCCCCACCAATTTTTTTACCTCTAAAAATCCTTTCTCGCCCTCTATGTACCAGTCTCTGAAGCTGAAGCTTCACTTACGACTGCTCTGGCCATGTATGCTTAGTGAAAGTGCTTGTTATTAGTCTTTTGTACATAGTTTCAGACCCTGGGGCTGCAAAGTTGGATGCAGATTTAACAAACATTTATTGTTTATGGCCAGTGTTATTCTACTATGTTCCAGGCATTGCTCTAGGAACTGGAGATACAATAGTTAACAAAAGCTTACAGTGGTCCCTCCTTCATAGAATATCCCTTTTCCCTTTCTGTGTTAGGATAGTTCTAGAGAAGGACTGCCTGGAATCATATTCCAGCCTTTCTACTGTTAGTCTGTGTGACCTTGATCAAGTTAGTTAGCCTCTCTATGCCTCAGTTTCCTGTAAATTGGGAAACATTAATAGCATTTCTCACAAAGATGTTATTAGAATTAAATAAGTTAAAATAGTTAATAATCTATGGCATTTAGGATAGTTGCTATGATATTGTGATTTACAATAAATACATATTTGGCCTTCCTCCTGCAACCCTTGGAATTTCCTAAGTGATGAGAGCTATAAAGGTGTCTTTTGTTACCGAGGTGACTTTTGGAAAACACCAAAGGATGGAGGCTGGTTGCCAGGAGAACCACCATGTGATTAGTCCCAACCCCTGACCTCCTGGGAGAGAAGAGAGGCTGGAGATTGAGTTCAACAACTTACACCCAATGATCTAATCAACCATGCCTGTAATGAAGCCTCCATAAAAACCCAGAAAGATAGGGTTCTGAGAGCTTCCAAGTTGGTGGACATGTGGAGATTTGGGGAGAGTACCCACCTGCAGAGATGGAAGTTCCATGCCCTTTTCCCTCACCTTGTCCTATGCATCTCATCTGTCTGGCTACTCCTGAGTTATGTCCTTTTATAATAAACTGGTGATTTAGTAAGTGAGAGTTTTCTCTGAGTTCTGGGGGCTACTCTAGCAAATTAATCAAACCCATGAAAAGGGTTTTTGGAATCTCCAATCTATAGCCAGTTGCTCAGCACAGGTGACAACCCTTAAATTGCCATTGGCATCTGAAGAGTGTGTGTGTGTGTGTGTGTGTGTGTGTGTGTGTGTGTGTGTGTAAGAGAGCCAGTCTTTAGGAGCCCTTAACTTGTGGGATCTGATTTTATATCCAGGTAGTGTCAGAACTCAGTTGTATTGTAGGACACACAGCTGGCATCTGAAAATTGCTTGGTATGGAAACCAAGTCCTAGTTGGGTGCTGAACCATAGTGGCACACTGTGAGTTCTCAACATATGTTAATTATTACTATTACTTCTTTAGATAATTAACTGTCTAGATGACAGAGATCTTCCTTTGGAAGTATTCTGAAGTCTCCTCTAGTAGGCTGTAAACTTCTTAAAAGCAAAGGCCAAGTCTTCAGTCCTTTTGTGTTTGCCACACCTGGTACAGTGCTTTCCACAGCTCGGGCAATGAATAAATGCTCTTGACTGACAGGGCCAGGGGGAGGACATGTCTGTTTTGAGGTCAGGGTATATCTGGGCTAGCCTCAGGCAAAACTGTGTTCACCGGAGGGATTCCATTCTCATTATCATATTTTTTGAAGAAAGACAAATGTACGCTCAGTGCTTTCTGTTGTTTGTGTAAAAGAACTTGCTTTCATTTGTCTAGAAACAAGTCCCAAGGTTCTCAGGTTAAAAAACATCCTCTGCCTCAAAAGGAAATGACATGACTCACCTTGGTTTTTCAGTGGTAAAGGCATAGTTTCCCTGAGTTTGCTTAAAAGGTTTTTCATTTCTCGCATGTCTCTGTAAAATTGATAAAAAGAGAAAATCATCAGCTGTAAATTTTGGAAATGCAATCTCAGTATGTTCTATGAGACAACGGAAAGACAAGAATCTTTGCTTAATTGTACTAGCTCTAGTTTTCAACAGGCAAATATTGAATCTATTTTGCTTTTATAAGAAAAAGAAATCTGAGGTGGGTTGGCTCTGGGAGGAAAGAGAACTACTCTGGCCAAGCTTTCCCCAGGGCATTCTGCTGCAGGAGCCCTCTTCTCTGCCATCCTTGGACCTGGCTGAGATTAGATAAGGGCTTCTGGTCATGAGGACAGTACTTCAGATTTCCACAGGGAGGCAGAGGACACACAACTAGAATAATGGGGTTACCCTGGGCAAAGCTGAGGCTGGGTTCTTGTCAGACAGCTGTTGTGGTTGTGTAGGTTCACTCGCTGTTGCCTCCCTTTACCACGATTGGAATTCAGTGTAACAGATGTTAAGCATTCACAGGGCCAGCACTTATTAAACTGACTTGGATGATGGGCGAGCATGAAAAACTCTAACACTGTCAGAGAAGAGCTTTTCACCATGGATGAAACAGAGAAAGAGAGAGAGGGGAGTGCACGTGGGACAGCTGGGCCTTCCTCTGTACACTTGCGTGTATGTCTGACACTGCATACCTCCAACACCCTCCCTCATCCCAGACTACATATGATCATGAGACCACAGAGCCGAAGCGCAGGAAGCCATCTTCCTCACAGCACAAATCTTTGGGACATTGGTTCCCCACATGGTCAGCAATGGTTGTCCACTGGAGTCAGTACTTTTGAAATCCTAAGACATAGTGGTAGGTTTCATTTAAAAGAGCAAAAATCAGATACATCTTTTAGTTAACTCCAGAATAGGCAAGCAATAGCAGGCACTCAGGGTTTAAGAAAAAAGAAAAATTGGGGGGAAGGGGCAATAATCCTAAAGCTGAGGATATTTTAACTATTAATCTATTTTTCTTCTGTCATTTGAGGAAATAGAGCCACCATGTAATTTTAGGTTTGAAATCCCTCAGTCTATTTCATGAAACACAAGTGTTCTTTCTGTTGAGTATAGTTTGAGGACCACTTGTCTTAGGGAGGCCAGGGGCCCCATGGGGTCTCCTCCTTCAGTATTGGCTAGTGTGTGAAAAGGAACTCTATCTCGGGAAGAGCTGATTGGAAAAGGAGGGGAAAACAGCCTTCTGGATCCGTCAAAATACACCTGTAAAAACATTCAGGAAACATTCCCCACAGGTGTAAGGATGTGTCTGCGTGGCACTGCATGCTGATAAGCCCCAAAGGGCATTTCTAGAAAGAGAAGTGGGGGAGAGGGAGAAGGAGGACAGGGCCCTATGTCCAGAAGTACAAGGGACACCTTCTGTTTTCCTGTGAAACTCCCAAGGGGATATGGGATGGGTGGGCGGAGGGCAGGCACAAGGTGGGAAAGGTAGTAATGCAATGTGAGACTGAGCCAGGTCCCCGTGGAGAGTGCCGATTCTCAGCCCTGGCTGCTGCACAGCAGAATCACCTCGCGCCCAGCCCTACTCCATGAGAGCCTGATTTGGTTGGTTGACAGTGAGGCTCAGTCATCAACGTTTTAAAAAAGTCCTCCTGGTGATTTAAATGTGCAGCCCAGTTTGAGTGCCACTGAGCTCACATGGCAGGAAGAGAGGGGGACTGAGGAAGCCACCCTCCCAGACAGGTCTATGTGCCTACTTCTCTCAGTCATTCCCGTCTCCTTCCACCTGAATCCGGGCTTCAGGGCAGAACTGAAACACTAGCAGCCTGGGGGCTCTGCTCTCCTATCTCACTGCCAGCCACAGCTGGCTTCATGCATGCATGCAGGGCTTGGACACGCTTCTCTGCAAGGCTTTGGGAAAGGAAAAAGGCCTTGCTGATGGATTATGCCCTGACCACAGCTCTCCGGCAGATATTCCTTCCTGGGAATAGGGCAAAGCATTTTCCATTTTATAAATTAAGATAAATCACTCCCTCATCATTGGTCTATAGTTCTAGCAAACTGTGCCAAACAGCTTTATTGTTTGAATCGTTGGATTTCTGAGCTTATACAAAATCCAAGTTTTATTAATAGCACATAATTACCACACACTTCAATTTTCTATAAACACAGAAATTCGGCAATTAGCTTTAGAATTATATTACAATCTGAAAGGAGAAGCACAATGGCTATAAATGCCCTTGTGTGTTACATCTCTAAAAATTAAAAAATAAAATGTTTCTCATCTTGTCTTTGACCCCTCCTCCCCCACATACAGAGCACTCAGTGGAAATTCCCGGCGTCCATTCAGCTGCTTTGTGCAGGCGCTGGGGACACTAGTAGCAAAGGACAAGATATGAGCGTGAAGGCCAATAAACAAGGCCCTTGTCCTTCTGCCTCACAGAATGGCATTTTCAGCATCGAGATGAGACACGGCACTCATTGTATCATCACTGCACCCTTTCCTCAAGTGAAACAGAATCACTGTGGACTCTCTTCTTCCCAGGAAAGAAGCTCCCTCTCTAGCAGGGAGCAACTGCTCGCCAAGACACATGCATTAGCTCGCTTTGACCACTAAGGGGCCCCCAGCCACATTTTGGGAGAGTAAGAGAAGGACCTGGGAGAAAGCTGCTGAGAACTAGACAGAATGCTCAGCCCCTAAGTGGCAGCTAAGCAGGCCACTGCATACATCTGAAATCCGAGAATCTATAGGAGGCATCTTGGCACAATTTGGGGACCCGGCCCACTGGGTGAGCTGTGACGGTATGTAGATCCAACTTTCTCTCTTGCCGAGGAAGCACTGTTCTGTCTCCATGGAGATGCAATGTGGTGGAGTGGCCTGAGCAGCCGGCCTCCACTGCAGGTTCTGCTGCGGTTCCGCTGCCGAGTTTGGAGAGTTTGGACCCCTTAACTTCTCTCAGCTCTGTTTTCTGAGAGCTCTGTTTCTGACTCAGAAAATCTTGACTCCTGTGGCCCTGAAAAGAGTATTAAGTGGAGGAGGAAGGGATGGGCAGTGTTTGCAGGGTAACTTCCCACTCACCTTTCGGTGTTCTCGATGTCTGTGGAAACCTGCCAGGAGTGCTGCTGCGTATCCACGGGGGGTGAAGAGGAGTCCTCCAGGGCAGGTGGTTCAGCACTCTCCTCGATTTTGCAATCCACACTCTTGGTTCCTCCGCCAGGCTCCTTTCCTACGGCGCAGGGAGGTGGGGCCGGGGGTTGTTGGTAAAGAGGAGATAAGAAATCATAATGCAGTTGTATGCCCAAGATGTCATTACAAAGGTTGGCTATGCTTTGAACCAAATGCTCCATGCACACTAATTTCTGAATACTAAAATAATCGATATATAAAAATAAATGTGCGTGTGTGTGTGTGTGTGTGTGTGTAGCATGTTTTCACAACGTTCTGGGAGACAGCTTGAGGCGGAGGCAGTTTGAAGATGGAGATGAAGTTAAGGCCCTGTGTTGATGGAGTCCTGGTGCTCTGTAACCCATCTTTAGGGAGTTAGATCAGACTGGCTGGGGAAGGGGGAGTCAGCCTGTAGAACCATGCTGCTGTTTGGTCCTCAGATGCAGGGCAGACGAGAGGGCCAGGAGCACAGGACAGACAGCAGGAGGAATGGGAGCTCCTGCCGGTCCCTCTGATTCTGACACTGGTTCTCTTGGCCTGAGGGAAACAGCGGGGGTTGTGGACCTGCCTTCCATTTCCTTGGCTCTCCGGCATCCTGCAGTGTCTCCTTCTATGAGGAATGAGCCCAGCCTCAAGATCCAGCCTTACTCCACTGAGACCATGAAGTGCCATCAATGAAAGAGCCATGTACTGGGTAGCCAGCCATCCAAAGGGATGCACTGCCAGTCCACTGAGACTTACTGTGACTGGTCTCCAGCGATTATGTCAACACTTTCTGAAATCAAATCTCTAGATTGTCTCAGCCATAATTTATATAAAATTAAACGGAAGTTATAGTCTGTGACCCAGGTAGCTTCTGTTAATGTTGTTTTCTGCCTTGAATATTTGTGCATTTGAAGGTGGATGTCCTGGTACCATTGGGATGGCCTATGAGGCCTGAGAACTGGGTTTTAAACATGACTTTGTCAGCCATTCATTCACTCACGCATTCAATCATTCACTTACAAATATTTCTTGAATGTCAGCTAAGTGCCAGGTATTGGTCTTGATGCTAGATATATAAAAGTGAAAGAAAGACATAGTCTTTGACTCATGGGGTATAAAGTGCTGGATGTAGATAATCAAAAAATTTATACAAATAATCACAAAACTGTTGTATAATATTACATAGTCTGAGAAAGAAGAGTAGGTATATTGTTTCTTTTACTCTTTCATCCAGCTTTGTATTATGTAGATATAGCTCCAGACTAATTAGGAAATTGCTACAGCCCATATCACTGAATATTCATGAGATAGTAGCTAGGCCAGGTTACCTCTTAGCTCAGTTTCCTTAATCCTGGTGGCATTGTTTTTGCATATTTAAAAACAAAACAAATAAACAGAAAATAAAACAAACTTGTGAAGAGGATGGCTGTTTACGGTAAAATCTAACAGGAAGCTTTTCCTTTCGATTCCTGATCTGAAGGGAACTGGAAAAATCTCATCCCTATAATTTCAAACCCATAGGGTAGCAACACAAGGAGAAAGAGACAAGCAATTNATCCCTATAATTTCAAACCCATAGGGTAGCAATACAAGGAGAAAGAGACAAGCAAGTGGTGATGAACTGTATGCGATTCATCAGCCTCTAGTAGAAATGAACCTCTGAATATTCAGCGGGAGCACAAACACAGATTCACTGCTGAGAACTTCTGATCATTTTGCATGTACTTTATGCACATTGATCCTGGGTAATGGAATTGCTTTTCCAATTTTATGGCATGCTGTTGGGTGGAAATTAATTAAGCACATAATTTAGCATGTTACCACTTCACAGTTGGAGGGCACTGACCTCTTAAAAGCATTTGCATTATGCTTCCTGGGAGAGTGCAGCAAATGCAGTCCACT